TCTTGGTTTTTGTAATCAATAGTACTTGTTGGATCAAATTTTTTGAAGAGTGTCTTTTTTTGTTAACTGCTTTAAAATTGTTTTCAAATTATTTTTTAATGTAGCAGACACATCTAATAGTTGTAACAAATGTGAGCAATTTTATGGCAATCAAATAATATGGTTATCCATGGCTGCTTTTAAGATACCTTTATGATAAATGAAATAATAAATGTATCTAATAAATTTATATGATGAAACAAACCTAGATGATAAATGTATTTATTTTTACACATCTTAAATCGTATTAACTCATCTTGATGAAGAACAAAAGCTATTCAAGTTAAATAAATGAAAAGAAAAAAAAAGTTAAACTTAAGTAAAAAACAGAAACTCAAGTACAATACCAGTTTTCAAACAGATAGCCTTGCATCGATCCTCTTTTTTTTTTGCCTCAAAAGCACATCTAATTGGGCCATTTTCAATCTATTTATTATACAGATAGCTTTCTTTCTCAAAAATAAACAAATGGTAGTAGATAACTTAATCTGTGAACACACAGAACAGAAAAACTATATAATTTACTTGAAAAAGCATCGCTAAGGTTATTATTAGAGAGACTGGGAAACAATGTTTTATTTACCAAGATTGTTTGTGAGACTGGAAAACAGCGTTTTATTTACCAAGGTTATTAGAGAGACTGGTAAACAAAGTAACATTTGAAAAGGATGTTTGTGAGACACACAGGTTGCGGTGGGCAGGATGCGGCCAGATACCATCCTATCACCTTGTTGTAAAGAATAAAACATCCCGCCACCTTTTTATAAACCTCTATATATAACAATGATTAGGCGGGATAGTATTTTTAATTTATTTTTATTTTAATTTAACATCCTGTTTTTTTTTTCCACTTCAAGCACTGATCTCCTAGAATATTTATCAAAAAAATTTATCAACGTCTTCTAGTGTTTAACTTTATGTTCTCAACAGTAAGTATATTTGTTTTACATAATATTTATCTACATAAGAATTCTTGAAAGGAATAATCTGATTTTTCTTAGGAATTTCATTTTTGAAAAGTATTTCAAAAATCTTCACTAATATGCAAAATTTGGTTACCTTGGTTGCAAATACCAAGAAAATCTAGATTTTATCTTTTGGTTAAAAATATTATTCTCAAGCAGAATAAAATTCTCAAGCAGAATAAAATCATCATGTTAGTGCATGATGAGAAAAAAATAATTTTTTCTCATCATGCACAAACCTGATTCTGTATTATCATTATTGTACTGTTATTACTACTATTGTGCAGTAGTGTAGCGAAGGAAAAAAAAATGTATATTAAAATCTCAGAACAACCCAAAAACTATTTACAAATATATCAACACACAACCAAAAATTAAAAATAAAGTTTGTTCTCTCAAAGATACTTTAGGGAGAATTATTAAAGCTCTTCCTAATATAGTTGATCTTTGACCTCTCAATTCAAATCTTTTCTTTGAATTCTCAAATCTCTTAAAAGCACTGAATATTTTTGATTGTTAAATAAATTATGCTTTTCTATGTAATTTGGTTCACCAAAGTATTTGATTCTGTACCTCACAACAGACTTATGTTAAAATTAAGATCTTTCTAAATAAACAGAAAAAAAATAAAAAGGAATAAACAAATACCTATGAAGTTCAAGTAAAGAGCATAATTTGAGAATCATTTTATTATTAACATCAAGTGAAGCACACATTTTCAAATAGTTGTTCTAAATCCTGACAAATTTTTGGTGTCAAAAAAAAAAATGAAGCGTTTTTTTTTATTTTGAAAAAATAGAAATAAAACTAAGATTTTGTTTGTAGATTTTCAAACTCTTTTTTTTTTTTTAACATCTTCACTTCCAACAAGGCTGCAAGCAACCACTATAAGAGTTAGAAGTTACTGGAAGAGAAAAGACTAAATCTGTAGAGCAAGATAACGATTGACTGATGACTTAAAGGATTGCAAATTATATGAATCAGGAAAGCAAGATGAAGGAAGCGAATTCCAAAGAACTGATGTTCGAGGAAAAAAACTAGAAGAATAAGAGTTTTTGAAGCACTTAGGAACAGTCACAGAAAAAGGATGAGACTTAATTGAATGGCGAGTAACACGAGAATGAATTTTAGTAGATGGCACAAGGGACGCTAGCTCTTTAGAGCAGTGCCCATTATAGTATTTGTAGAAAAGAGAAAGAGAAGCAACATTACGACGATGTGACAAAGGTTGGAGATTGGCTGCCAGAGCAGGTCCAACTATGTTTACAATTCGTTTTTGCACCATTGTTGGCATATCTTAGCAGGTTTTCATTTTTAACATTACATTTTTTAAAGTTGAAAACCTAATAAAAGCTCAGATAAGTTCTTTGTTTATAGAATGAGGGTTGATTAAAAGTTGTAATTTTGTTGTATTTAAATGAATTTTTCCTTTAGCCATTAAGTTTTTGCGTATGTTAAGTATTTTCAATTGCATTTTTTAATTTTAATGTATACTT